CGCTTTATTACTAGTTTACTATGCAGCTTTGCAACAATGGCAAACACAACATCATAGTAATACATGAGAGGATTTCTAGAGAATTTCTAGATCCTAACCATCAAAAAAGTGATCAGATTCTTTGCCAAAGGAGGGCTTGAACGGCTTGGAGTGCTTTCTTGTCGGTCGTCTTTTCTGACCCGTAAAAAATCGTTGTAATCAAAGCTTTATTATGCCTGATAAGCATATGTTAGATTTGTTACAAATTTTAACCTAATTAGTTCGGATTTCATATTCAACAGGCTCTCTTAGCATAAAATCTCAATTCTACTTCAACTTCTTCATCATCTGATTCCTCTTAGGCTCTTAAAATCGTTAAAGCTGATGATTACGCGCTTATGTTTTACTTAATTCGTAAGGAAGTCAAAAAAGGCTGTCAGTCAATACTAAATCACATTTGTTATGCGATTGATCGATTAGACTTTAAAAGTATTCCATTCTATTGGTTCATTCTTTCAATGTGCAGATTTGATGGTACATCGGACAATATAAAATTTCGTTCCTCATTTTCGTCCCAAAGAGGAAAAGCACTGGTGCGAAAATGAAAATGTAAGAGGATGACTGGTTTTTACATTATTTCGAAGCTATTAAATAGCCCATATTGGTATTTGTCGTTCAGCTCGAAATTTTCCAACAAAAGAAGCAGGCAAGTTTTGAATAATCTTCCTCCTATTTCTGGTCAAGAGCATTTATGTATGGAGAAAATGAATAGATTATATTTATACTATTTTACTAACTTAATGATAAATTGTGAGTGGGAGACTTAGAAACAATCACACACGTTCTGCAATCCAGGTCCACGGTTAAATGATGCTAACATTGTTGAAAATCGGAAAGTGTAGGCTTAAATATTAATAAGGCTAGTAAATCTCAATGTTGAAAACACAATTTTTGAATTTTTTTGTTTAACATTCAAACAAGAACACATAGGATCCTTTGCTTCTATTCGCTTGTTTTGTGCTCATTAATTAAACTCAGCTCAACGCTAATTTTCAGGAATCCATATGTAGGGGTCGAATAGTGGATTCTTCAAATAGAAAGCGAAGTATGCGTAAACAAGTTTTGTTTATGTAAATAGCTTCTCTGCACCACAAGACCAGTCTCAACGAACTGCCCGACACCTAGAATTGAGGTCATGCTAAAAGTGAGGCTATTTTTTCTGATGTGGTTCTCACGCCAATTTCGTGAAAAACTGGACAGACATTTACTTTCTTTGTAGGTCATAATGAACAAAAACCTAGAGCGTGGATTTCATTGATTTATGTTTACAGGGCAGAATACAACTTTTCAGTGAGTTTATCAATTTGTATATAATAGTTGACTTGTCAGTATTCATCTGCATTATTCACCAAAGTCGTCCGTAAGCATCTTTAGCACTAAAATACTGATTTGTTATCTGGGATTGTTACAGGGCAAATGAAATTACCTGCAGTATCCGCAAATCAAAAACGTCAGTGCTCTAATAAGAGTAATAGACTGAAGTAAGAAAAATTGTTGATAATGTCCAATACCCTGGAAATATCAGTAATACGATAGTTCAGTACAATCGAAACCAAATATAAACTATACCGCTTTCTCCACATTTCTTTGCACATTTTGCAAGGTAAGCATTCCTGCTGTGACATATGCGAAGGTCATAAGTTCATATGTTTTTGTTAAGGCGTTTAGTAGTATTCCGATCACAAAATTTGCAATAAGTCCTGCAGTTGTACACGCAGTCAGCATCGCTAGACGATTTTTGTACACCGAGTTGATTTCACCCTGGAGTTGTTCGCGTCATCTGAGTATTACCGTAATTTAGCCTACGAAGATTAAAAACAATGCATGACAACTGAGATCTATAAACAGCTATTTAAACTTCAGCTTTCATTTCAGATAGCTACGTAATTTTATCTTATCCGAAATAGAAGATAGTACCATGTAAGCCATCACGATTGCAAGTGGTGTAACAAATGCTAGCGGTTCACCGCTGATGTAGGTGCTGTCGATAACAAATCCTGACACCAATCCTTGCAGTACAGCCGTTATGAGAAGCATGAATCGGATAGCAGCGTCGCGAACACCTTTACGCTGATGCTGAAATTCACAACTATAATGAGAAAGTAGTTTGAAAATTGAAATGTAGTACACACCTTTCTAAGCATTAATTTTGTAAATAATGGCAGCACCAAAAAAGCAAAAATAGAAGCGCCAAGTTTATCGAAAATTGCATATAGCAGAGGGCTTGCGATACATGATCCGAACAACGAACCAATATGAGAGGAGAACGTTAGCACAGCTCCCCATAGAAAAACTTCAACAATAGTCTTATGTTCTGTTTGGATGCAGCTCTAAAGAAGACTGCGAGAAGCTTCAGCCTACTCCTCAAATTGGTAGACTTACTCTGCTAAGGCGCTCTTGCCTTGAATTTCTAGAACTTGGAAACATTCGATCCGAAGCAGTTCGCGTGCTTCTCAAGGAGCGGATTCTAGAGCGGGAGCTGCGACCCGAAGAGAGTAATCCACGTTGTCGAAGACTTGCTACAGCTTCATTGAGATCTCTCCGGTACAAGTCGCATACAGCCACTATTGCATCCATATTGAGTCAGTAGGCCTTACACGAGTTTGGGCTATGCTATTTAAAAATGCTACTCACCGGTAATTCTCCATTTATATCTGGATGATTGTGATAATGTGCATATCTCAATGATGCTAAACGTCACTACTCACATCTGATCTGCCAACGCTCCCTTCGACGGGGCCTGTTTCTTGTACGTATGAGTAGTTATTAGAACTGGAAGAACTTTTCGGAAAGATGGTCACGAAAACGTAAAAAAAATTTTAGAACTAAGAAATAGTGTTAGCTCCAGATAATTTAAACAAGTGAGATGCTGCTTGTTGAGGCGTGCATATGTGTGCCAGCTACCATGTTCTAGAACGGTCAAATTTTTCTTTCTTTCAAAATTTCTTATGCAGTATGAATGTCACAAATTCTATGGTCACCCTAGTTTGCACTTGTTACTGCAGTCTTGTGCTGTTTACGAGATATACTTACTATGGTGGGTACAGTTTTTGCGCTAGATAGATAGAGTAGCTCCCAACATGTAAAATTTAAACAATATTTAATTGTTCTGATGAAGCACATGATTCGCATATAGAAAAAAAACGAACTTGTGTTTAAAGAGAGCAATTTTTGGGCTGCAATGGTCACAGAAAACTTCCTATTAATAAAAGCTTTGATAGGGAAAAAAAGGTTTTCCACGAAACTTCAACGCTTCGTGTAGTCCTTGATATTAGGGGCCTATAAAAGTTGACGAAAGCTTGTCACGTATGCCGCGGGCCAACGTTCTCC